CTCTCTCTCTCTCTCTCTCTCTCTCTCTCTCTCTCTCTCTCTCTCTCTCTCTCTCTCTCTCTTTTAGTGAATGTGATGCTGGATAGAGGTGTGTAACAGCCTTTCCCTTAGACTTCCATGCTCGACACATACCTATCTGCAACCATAGTCAGCATACTGATTTTCTTTCTGACACACAAGAAGGCTGAACAGTGAATACGCATTTATCAAGCTCAGATCGAGGTGGCTGTATGGTGCGGACCTCAGCCCAGGCCTTCGCATGGACAAACACTTCAAAAGACCCCCCTTTTTTTCTTTGTTTTTTTAAACACACACACACACACACACACACACACACACACACACACACACACACGCACACACACACACACACACACACACACACACACACACAGCCCCATTCTATTCTGGGGGGCACTAGCTTGGTCGCTCATCACTGGCAAGCATGTTTACAGATGTAAGCACAAAAGAGTAAAAGACCCTTTTCAAAATTTTAATTTTCCATATTTGCTTCTCATTTGTAAGCATGTTAGCTGGGTAAATTACTGAATGTGTTGAACCATTCTATGGTAGTTATGCAAGTGCAGGAGAGCTGGGGTGGCTCAGCTGGATATTTCTACTGTTTGAAGGAGATATGATCATCTTGTTGCTTAGTCGATTTGCTAACAAACTTCTGCAAAGTAAGGGCGTACTCACACTAACTTTTTACTTATTTCTGGACGGAATTGTGGCCTGATGCATTTAGGTATGGCCGTAAATGCGGTCAGATACATTTGGCATACTGCTAGTGTGAGTACGCCCTACTTGTAGTTCATAATCCCAGCTGTTTTCTGAATGTGTGTCTCTATTTCAAAATTCCATCTTTGTCGTATGCAGGGATGCCTCTCGAGCGTTTGTGACTGGGAAGTTTACAGGTCAGTTGAAAATTGAAATCATAAAATGCCTTTTTTTTTACCTTATTGTTCCGTGTAATGTTGGCAGGTTAACATCATTTTTTTCCTAGAAATTTAAAATTTCGACTAATTTTTCAGAAATGTTGACTCAGTTTGAGTCATTTTTGACTCATTTTTTAGAAAGTTTGACTCATTTTTGAGAAATTGTGCCTTATTTTGACTCATTTTTTACTCATTTTTTAGAAGCTTTGACTCATTTTGACTAATTTCTGACTCTAAAGTTCGCCTTGGCGGTGTCCTTGCAGTTTAACATCGTTACGTCTAGAGCATCATTTGTGTCGACGCCGAGTAGGCAACCAAGATCAACCCTAAGCTTAATGCTGCTTTGGAGGATGTGCCGTCTTCCCCCGAATATAGAGTGTTTGCCGCACGGTGATTATTGCTGTAATACAGCTGTAATGATCATCAGTTTTATTCAATGGAATGCTGTAATCCTTTGTGATGAGTGGGCTGCGTGCATCTTTCGGCTGGATATCTCCATGGGAGGTGGCCTTTGACAGTTTGACTTGCTCATTCTAGATTGATCGGCCGACACCTTTGCCTCACTAGAATGAGTGGGCAGCTATTTTGGACATGTTCATTCTAGTTCATAGGCTGAGCAGGTCCAAAATGGCTGTCCCCTCTTCCGACGAACCCTGTTATATTGCACTGTTAGATTAGTGGCACACTTATGTCTTTGTCAGTCTTTTTTTTTTGGTTGTTGTTCTCCTCACTTTCTTAGCCTTCTGGCTAACATGAAGTCTAATATCTTTTTTCATTTAATCATGGCTACGATCCGGACGTCCGGACCGCCGTCCAGACGGTCTGGATTCAGTCTGGACTCCAGACGTCCGGTCTGGAAGGTCTGGATCTGCCGAAATTCGAGGGAAAAAAAAAAAAAAGAGGGTCCAGGACCCTTCCCCATTGAGGAGCCAAGCCGTAAAATTGTTTTGGGGGTTTTTCAGGCCCGTTTATGCTTTTTTGGGGGGTCCGGACATGCCCTCTCTCTATAATAATTTATTAGACAACCCCAATTTTTTAATTATTAATAATTCATTACCCGTTTATTAGTTTTTAAAGTCTTTTTTAAAGCTTTTTTATAGTTTTTGACTCCTAACTGAAGTTTGGTTAGGAATTCTGACATGACTCTTAGGCAAAAGTGGTTTGCATTGTTATTCTGCATAGCATACTTTTTTTTCAGATTTTTTTTTTTTTTTTTTTTTTATGGTCCGGACATTTCCGGACCAGTCAAGACATCTGGACCGGCCGGATCCCCCATGTCCGGGGGTCCGGAAATGTCCGGAATTCCGGACACGGGTTCGGTTCCATGTCCGGAAATGTCCGGGTCCGGGTCCGGGTCCGGCATAGCCATGACTTTAATGTATCATGACGTAAACTTTGTCCTCCTTCAGGCTCTCACACGATATTAATATATTTTTCTCAGTCCGTGTAAGGCTTCATGTGAGTAGGCTTGCATGCTCGACCCCTCCAGCGTTACCTTTCCCAAGTCGCTACAGCGGTGAGAGGTGCAGCCCGCCTTACTTTAGTCAGAGGGATGTCCATCAAATTGTCATTCCGTCAAATGGGAGAGAATTAGAAAAACAAATATAATGAGTGGCACTTAGCGTGTGACGATCTGACCTCATGCTGCCTGTCTGCTGTCAATCAGAGGGACATCCATCAAATTGTCATCCGCCACACATGCCCTGACTTGTAATTTGTTCAGTGAGCTTGCTGTTGGCAATCCCAGATCTACCCAGCCTCTTCGTCGACTGCCTCCTCTTGTAGTTTATAAACCGCGTCTCCATCCGGACCTGTTATGACCAACCAAAATTTGGGTGCCCTTCCCAAGCCTGAAATCTACAGTTGCCCCCGTGAGGAAAAGTTGTTTGGGTACCCTTCCCCAGCCAACGTCGCCTGGGCACCGTAGATTTTGGTCTGGTTCATGACGACAAGAAAAATGAACAATGCAGGGGCTGCGTAGCACGGCGAACGTGTTCGCACCCCTCCATGTTCGCGCGAACAGGTCGCGAACATGTTCGCGCAAACAGGTCACGAACATGTTCGTGTGAACAGGTCGCGAACATATACTTTTTTCGTAAAAAAGTATATATTTCAGCCTCCTGATGAGTCGGTGAAACTCCGACGAAACAGTTTGTCACAGCCCCTCGTTTGTTGTCCTCTTCTCCCTCTCTGCCTACGGTTTACCGGGCAGTTCTATTTGACGATA